CACATCATACATTGCAAAACCAGAAAAATATTGAGAGAGCAAAAAACCCTAAAAACCAGAAAAAAATAGAAAGCTTTCCAAACCAAAGAAAGAGAGTGAGATAAAACCAAGAGAACCACTAAAGAGCAAGAGCCTTCACAACATAGAGGGAGGAGTGAAGCACATTCACCCAAAACCAAGGAGGACTTGCAAGAAGAAGAAACTCTTGGGTATCCATTTTCTCAAACTTTTTTCTCTTTATTTCTTTGCTCTTATATTCATTTTATTTACTCTTTTATATGTTGTTGGACTGGTCATATCATGTAAGATCCCCTAAGGGACTAAGAAACCATCCTCAAAGAACCACAAAAACGAAAGAAAATGTAGAAAAAGTTGGGACTTTGGCTGTTTTAACAGGCCAACGGTCGACCATAGCAGGTCTATGCGTCGACGCATAGCCTGCATTTTTAGGCAAATTGAAAAAACTTACAGTATGCGTCGACGCACGGGTCGACGGGCGCTTACCCGTCAGTCTTTCAAAATGGTATGCGCCGAGTGTATGGTCGACCATGGTGTTTATGCGCCGAGCCGTTGGAAAAGCTGAAAGCCATGCGCTGACCCTATGGCCGACTCATGGCTTCAAAACTTGCAAAAATGAGTTTTTTTGTCTGTGTCGCACCACTGTTTTACTACTTTTTTTTCGACTTTTTACCTCAATAAATTTTTTCTCAAAGAGTTCGCCGTTTTATTGGCATGTCCCGATTTTTTTTTTTGCAACTAACTTCATATGTTTGTATGTTTTTAGTGTGAATGTTGTTATGGTCCTTGTTGACCTTTGATTCTTAAAACCTTTTTTTAAAACAAACTCTCGATTTTATCGAGCCATTTTCAACCTTGTAAGTCGATTGCCTTGTGCATCGCTACCGACCTTGATCGTATCACCTCAAATACATTTTCACAAACAATAAACCTTGATCCAACATCAAGTGATCCTTTTCTCATAAGAAATCCAAAACACAATAAGTATACGATTAGGACTATACACCATGGACTTTAAAGTGGTGGAGAAGGAATGAGAATGGAACCCTCCTACACTCGTTCCGAATGTTTTGAATACAAGGCGCTCGACTTGGTTATTCGAGACATTCATTTCTATCCAAAGTCTTTTGTGTATAATCCTAATCAAGAACCATTTCTATTCAAAAAAACCTAAAAATAACATCAACTCATTAAATCTATTTTCGCATTAGCGCATCAATCCGAAAACCCTTTTCAAGGTATAAAATCAACCAACAAACAACAATTTCATAAGCCTCCAAACTACGGAGCTCTGATTCTTCACTTCTTTTAAGTGATGATACGTAGGCACAAGGGCCACAATCCTTGGCGAGCACTATAAAAAACCTCAACCCCTCTTTCCCTAAGAACAAGCAAACCCTTAATTAAAACACCCATTCAAGCAAAACAACCTAGGAGGTTCCCATTGAGTATGATGGATGTGAGGGGGTGCTAATACCTTCCCCTCGCATAACCGACTCCCGAACCCTAAGACTTGGTTGCGACGACCACGCTCTTCTCCTATAAAAGGTTTTATCGCTTATTTCCCTTTCCCTCCTTTGGGATAAATAAAATCCGGTGGCGACTCTGTGTCATTTTTCGCGTAGCGACAATCTTTCCCTCGCCACACCCTCTCTGGAACATCACCATCAAGAGGAATTGAAGGAGAAAGGTTGATCAAATCTACTGCAGTTCTCAACGCTTCACCCCAGAATGATTTAGACAATTTTTCATGAGAGAGCATGCGTCTGATTCTGTCATTAATTGTACGGTTCATTCTTTCTGCAACTCCGTTGTGCTGTGGAGTCTTTGGAACGGTCTTCTCAAGCCTGATTCCATGTTCCCTGCAATAATGCTCAAATGGCCCCCTGTATTCACCACCATTATCTACTTTGACACACTTCAACGTTTTTCCTGTTTCTCTTTCCACACTTGCATGGAAGTGTTTGAACATATCAAGTATCTGATCTTTGGATTTCAAAACAAAAGCCCACACTTTTCTCGAGTGATCGTCAATAAATGTCACAAAATAAGAATAGCCACTAAGGGATTTAACATCCATAGAGCAAACATCAGCGTGAACTAAATCCAAGATATGTGACCTCCTGTGAGGAGGGTGAGTGCGGAAAGAAACTCTATGTTGTTTACCAACAATACAATCAGAGCAAGTTTTGAGAGATGTACCTTTCACCGGAAGCAGATTTTTCCTTGCAAGAGTGTCAAGTCCCTTCTCACTCAAGTGACCGAGCCGCTTATGCCATAGCTCTATAGAACAATCCTCAATTGCATTCACTTGAGGGGCACACAATTTTGTAGAAGTCCAGTAAAGGGTGTTTTTCTTCACTCCCTTTGCTACCACCAAAGTACCCTTGGTGCACTTCCATTTACCATCGCCAAAGGAATTATGATAACCATCATCATCAAGTACCTGTACTGAAATCAAGCTGAGGCGCATATCAGGAATATGCCTGACGTTCTTCAAGTGCAGCTTGCATCCAACATTAGTTTCTACCCAGATATCTCCAATGCCAGCAACCTTGCTTACCTCTTGATTACCCATCTTTACCTGCCCAAAATCTCCAGCAGTATAGGATGAAAAATACTCACGATGAGGAGTAACATGATATGAGGCAGCAGAATCAACAACCCATTCATAATCTTGGCATGCGAGATTAACTGAATCATCTTCATAAACAACAACAACTTCACCATCAGATACAACTGCAACTGTGTCTTTATCTTCTTTATTATCATTGCCTCTTTCCCTTGATTTCTCCCTCTTAAGCAACCTGCATTCTCTTATCATATGACCTGCTTTGTTGCAATGATAGCACCTGATGTCTTTCCTGGGCTGACCTCTGGACTGTCCTCTTGACTTGCTTCTATCATTAGATTTATGATAGGTTCTATGTTGGCTTCTCCCCCATGACTCAACAACCAAGGCTTCTGTGTGAGTCGATGAACTAGCCGTATTGTTTCCCTTCCTCCTGATTTCTTCATTCAATAAGGCTTCTTTCACAATATCAAAAGTCATATTGCCATTAGTGGAATTGCTCAGAGATACCACCAATGTTTCCCAACTGTCTGGCAATGAGCTAAGCAACAACAAAGCAAGTAGTTCATCAGGAAGTTTAATCTCAATAGTAGTCAGCTGATTCACAAGATTCTGAAAAATGCTCATATGCTCTGCCACTGAAGAACCATCTCTGTACTTCAGATTAACCAGTCTCCGAAACAAAAATACCTTGTTCTGTGCATTCTTGGACTCAAACATGTCCTTCAATTTCTTCCACAGACTGTGGGCACTAGTCTCACTAGACACATGATGATAAATGCTCTGATCTATCCATTGCCTGATCATGCCAATTGTTTTTCTGTTTGCCTTTGTCCACTCTGCAACAGATTTATCCTCTGGCTGAGTACCGTCTCTGTCAATGGGATCATACAAGTCCTTACAGAACAACAAGTCTTCCATCCGGGATTTCCAAATAGAATAATTGGAAGAATCCAATTTCAGCATAGTACCAGCCATATCACCTTCACCCATTTTAATAGCACCAAACAGAACTCCAACCAAGGAGCTCTGATACCACTGTTGGGAAAGAAAACAAATATAGAAGATAGTAATAAAATGCGGAAGCTGCTGGATCAACTTTTCCCCTGCGTGCAATTAAAAATAAGCTCCAAACAAAATTGCTCAGACAACAATAATAAGCACAAAATAGAGCAAATAAAATAAGGAGACACCAGAATTATTAACGTGGGAAAAAACCCTTAAAGGGAAAACAACCCACGGGACCAAGCCAGTAAATCTTCCACTAATAAATTAATGGGTACACCACAAGTCCTCCTGGAACCACCAGGGATCAACATAGCAAATATATATAATCTTCACCGTACAAGGTGGATATCAAATCAACTAACCCCTCAACGAATTCTACGACACAACAATAAAGAGACACTCTTTGATATTCTTCTCTCTGCCTGTGGAGTCGCTCCCGTTGCAACACAAGGGTTAAAACCCTTTAACCATTTCATGGGCTTTGCCCCACAAAGCTAATTCCTTTTTTTTTTCTTCTCCTTTAATAATAATAATAATATTAAGATTAAGTGGGCTCACTTATTTTGGTGACTCACACAACAAGAGTAACTTAAATCTAAATAACGCAAGCATGTGTACCTTGACACCAATGTATTCAGAATACTTTGACTTTCAAGACTCATTCCAAAGATGGGAAATAGTATGCTTCTCACACTTCTAGACTCTGGGAACAAAACATGAACAAATGTATAATCTTCAACAAATGATAAATGCCTTGCTTGCTGAGGTATATTTCGAGTTTGTGAGTTTACTGCTACAAAGTCCTCTCCAGCAACATATAATGCAAGATCGTGTATCAAATGATGTATTTTGAAATTCCAATTGGTGCCACGTTCATTGACATCCTGAACAAATGATCTTGAATGTAACTCATCAATATATTTTCTCACAATATGCTCTAGCTTTTAACCTCCATTTCGGGATTGAACTAATCCAAGGGCTGTCCAAAGCCTATGTATTACACGACCATTAAAGATATAATCTTTGGGATAAAGGGAAAAATAAGCAAAGCATTGTCTTAGAGTGGATGGCATTTGATCATAACTTATTTTTAGGGCAGGTAAAATACCATCTTTTTTTTGTTCTAAATTCCACATCTCAGAGTCCCTAACAAATTCCCACTTATTTATATTAAAGTCCGAGAAGAGAGAACTTCCTAATGTTTTCACAGCTAGTGGAACCCCGTGACATTTTTCCACAATCTCTTCTCCGATCTTCTTTAGATTTGGATATCTTTTTTCTTCACCTTCCTTGAATGCACATTTGACAAATAGAGATAAACATTCCTTTGGAGAAAGACCTTTTAATTCATATGAGGGTACATTACCCATCATTAAAGCAACTGATTTACTACGTGTTGTCACTACAATTTTGCTTCCTGGTGCGCCAACTTTTGCAAATCTTCCAACTGAATCCACTTTTCACGATCTTCATTCCATATGTCGTCTAACACAAGTAAAAAAATTTGACCGGAAAGTTTTTGTTTCATAAGATGTGTTAGTTGCACAATATTTAAGTTGTTGAAGTTTTCTGGGGGAATGAGACTGGTCGTTGGGGCTGAAGCTGCTTTAGAATCTGAAGTACTGGCAGCCTTGATGATTTCAATGATTATCTGCTTGATGTCAAAGTTAAGAGAGACACACACCCACATCTTCAATTGGAAAAGTTGATCCACTGTGTCATCATTGAACACCAACTTTGCAAGTGTGGTCTTTCCTAATCCTCCCATTCCTACAATGGGAATGACACACATGCTTTTATCACCATCATTTCCACCCTGAGGAAAAGGTTGCATCAACAGCTTGATAATTTTATCTTTATCATCATCCCTTCCTATTACACTTGAAACATTAACGTCTGGATAAGTCGTTTCTCTTTCCCGCATGACAGGTTCGGGAATACTAGTAAGCCCATACGTTATCCCCTCGGCTGCTTTCTTATCCAATCTTTCCCTAATCTCTTTGATTTGATGTCCCATCCCAGGAAGGAATATAATTGGACTATATTTAGAAAAAAAGTGGCCTACCTTCTTTCTGATGCTTCCAGAGGATTTGATAATTTGCTTCCTCTTGTGTTGCAACTCAAATGTATCAAATATGTCATCAGCATCAAAGCAAATGTTTTGAATCTGCTTCAGCCATTCACGCAAAGCATGACTCTTGTCCTTCTTGGACTCAGCATCCACTAGATAACCTCTGACAATTGTCAAAGATTCTTTGAAACGTTGTAGATTGTCTTTCACACCATAGGCTAGATAAGCTTCTTGACAAGCATAAGAAGCTACCTTCCCAAGCAGTGAATTAGACATATCGATGAGAATTGATTCTGCCATGGTAATGAGGAAATAGCAGAACTTTGTTTTTGTATCTCAGTTTGTGTTTGTGGTTGTGGTTATGGTGATATATATTTAAATATATATAGAGAGAGAATGAGAGTCTTGTTTACTCTTTTTCATGTCTTGTTCGGTTCATTTACGTGTAGTAAGTTATTGAGGGAATTAGATTCAACAATGGATAGCTTTATTCTAAAAAACAATAAAAGAAGACTTGTAGAGAGAGAGAGAGGGTGACTGCATGGAATTAGATTCCCTTTCATGACATTAGATTTAGTTATCCCTTATGTATCACTCACGCAGTAAATTGTGATGTTAGAAAGAGCAAAGAATTTTCGCATTATTTCCAGTAGTTGAATTAGGTTCAATGGAGGAAGAAATACTTTCTCACTAAGCGGAGGAAGCGCCCCCTTTCCAAAACAAAGACGTTGTCATGGTCACGACCTAACCATCATGATTTAATTTTATATGCAAAAGTTGAACAATAGAGATGATGAAACTACATCACTGGTAATTTTGGCAAAGGTGATGAACACTCACGGGAAGTCTTAAATATGAGAATGTATTTGAGCTAAAGGCATATTCCAAAGACAAGAAACTGGTCTTATACGACAGTATAGCATCTCTGCATTGCTGCAAGTTTATATGCTAGAGAAACTCCGAGGACCCTTCGATTTCGTCACCATGCCCAAGGAGAGGAGAATAGGAACTGAATTAAAGTTTTCGGCAACTTTTCAAGCTTTGTGCATCCATGAAACCACAAAACTTGCAAATTTAGTAGTTCGCAAATGGAATATGGTACTGTTCTGATTTTGTCATTATAAGAAAGATTGAGTCTACGCAGGTGCTCTAATTTTGCAATTGAATTGGGTATAGTTTCAAAAGAAGAGTTACTTAAATCTAAATAACGCAAGTATTTGTACTTTGACAGCCATTTATTCAGCAAACTCTGACTTTCAAGACCTATTCCCGAGATGGGAAATTGTATGCTTCTCACACTTCTAGACTCCGGGAACAAAGCATGACCAAATGACTCATCTTCAACAAATGATAAATGCCTTGCTTGCTGAGGTATATTTCTAGTTTGTGACTTTACCGCCACAAAGTCCTCTCCTGCAACATACAATGCAAGATCGTGTATCAAATCATGTACTTTGAAATTGCAAAAGGCGCCACGGTCATCGACATCCTGAACAAATGATCTTAAATGTAACTCATCAATATATTTTCTTGCAGCATCCTCTAGCTTTTCACTTCCATTTCGGGATTGAACTAATCAAGGGATACTCAAAGATTACACATGTCATAACTATTAAAGATATGATCTTTGGGATAAAGGGAAAAACAAGCAAAACATTGTCTTAACATGGATGGCATTCGATCATAACTTGCCATAAAGGGAAAAATAAGCCCATACATTTTCACCTCAGCTGCTTTCTTATCCAATTTGTCACTGATGTCTTTCATTTGATGTCTGATTGTAGAAAGGAAAACAATTGGATTATATTTAGAAAACAAGTGGCTTACCTTCTTTCTGGTGCTTCCGGAGGATTCCACAATTTGCTTGCTCTTGTCTTGCAACTCAAATCTATCAAATATGTCTTCAGCATCAAAGCAAATGTTTTCAATCTGCTTCAGCCATTCACGCAAAGCATGACTTTGTGCATCCAGTAGATAACCTCTGACAATTGTCAAAGAGTCTCATCGTCTTTCACACCATAAGCTAGAAAAGGTTCCTGGCAAGCATAAGCAACCTTCCCAAGCAGTGAATTAGCCATGTCGAAGAGAAATGATTCTGCCATGGTAATGAGAAAATAGCAATATCGAAGAGCAAAGAGCACAAGTTCAGTTTGAATCGAAGTTTGTGGTTGTCTTGTGGTGATAGACAAAGTCTTCACGGTTGTATCCTGTACTACATAATATATTATTAACCATTGACCATAACAGTGTTTTTGTTTATCATCTACCCATTCCATTTTCTTTTATAATTAAAATTTAATATTTTTATTTATTGAATAATTAATATATTTAATTTATATATTACTCAAATACATAATTTATTCAATCAATTTAAAAATTAAAAATTTACTTATATAAAAATGTAGAAAATAAACTTTAAACTTTAAAATAACTTTAAATAATATTTTCTAAATTAATTTTAACTTAAATTGTGATAGACAAAGTCTTTTTACAGTTCACTTTTATCATGTACTAGTAAGATATGCGTGTGATACGAAGATAAAATTATTTGATGATATAAATATTTTTAAATGTATATGATCTGACCTGATCAGAAGGATGGTCACGGTCTGGCCACGTCCTGTTGGACTGGTACCTGTCCACCGGTGCTGTGAAGGAAAAGTGGGGGGTGTACCTGCAAGGAACTCCATTGCCAAAGTAAGGAATTTGGGCAGAGCAATTGCAAATACAGAGGGTAAGAAATGAATATCTGACCCTCTTGTGGAAGAGGGTATTTATAGACCCCAAGGTTGGGCCAACGGTCAGTTGGGCTGGACGACCAGGCCCAACCCAAAGGACTGATAGGGCTTATGTGGCATAGAGAAGACCAGAACGTGATCTTCGCCCTAGTTCAACCGCTCCATGACTTCCGGAAAGTGCGCCTGGCCTTTCGAAGATGGGCAGTTGGGGAGTGACGTGTCCCCGCGGAGGGGAGCACGTGGAGAACGTGCGAGGGGCCATGTCTGTCCTGCCCGGTAGGGGAGATTCTACCCGTCGCGGATACCGTGGTTAGACGAACACGTGCCTGGGCTATGGGGCGTACTCGGAAGGTGGCTTGCGCTCAGCGTGTGGACTCGTGCCTGACCTGTGGCACGTGCCCGGTGGGATCTCGCACTTAGCGTGTGACGCGTGCCCGACGAAGATGCGTGCTCGACTAGGATGTCTCTGGGCCTTCAAGGGCAGATGCGATTGGGCCTGGCCGACCTAGCCGAGGCCTAGTCCAGAACAGGAGCCCCCTAAGTCGTAGCTCCGTAGGGAGGAGTGGGGACTTTGAAGTCGTTGAGCCGAGAAGGAAAAACTGGTGTGAGGAAGGGTCGTGTCGCTCCGAATTTCTGCGGTGAGAGTGCAGGGTCGCAGCAATGTCGGCGGCGCGGGGATGCGTGTCATTGGAAAGAGATGAAGGGACGTGACTGTCAGTCTTTGCCACGTGTCGCATAGTGGATGGCTTGTAGGGCGGCTACCCTAGGGTACTCGAGTGCCTAGCGATGCTTCGAGTTCTGAGCTAGGGTATAAAAGACGGGTTCCCCGTTCATTTTTACTTTTTGCTTTGCTTGCCTTCTCTTCCGAGGACCGCCGTTCATTTTCTGTTCAACTTCGCCGCCGCCGTTACCGCCGTGCTTTTCGCCGCGAATTTCTCCATCACCTCTAATCAAGTAAGCCTTTTGCCCTTTCCTCTTTTTTTTCCTGTGGTTTGTTTGAATGCCCCGACGAGGGCGTGACCCTCCGTCGTAGCTGGCGGAGGTTTTGAGGCCTTTTAGATGAATGTCCCGGGGACGGAGGGTAGTTCCGATGAGTGTCCCGGGGACAAACGCCTAGGTTAGATGAACGCCCCAAGGAGAAACTCCTAGATTAGATGAACGCCCCGGGGACAAACGCCTAGGTTAGATGAATGTCCCGGGGATGAAACGAGTGTGTTTGAGTGCGTTCTCCCGGGGTGAACCGATAAATTTTTTAGCTGAGGGTTGTCTCTCGGGGACATTGATCGGGTTGTCTCTCGGGGACATTGATCGGGTCGTCCCCGTCGCCCTTTCACTTGATCAGTGGTGGAAGGGTGAATTTGATCTTGGCCATCGAATTCACCGTTACCTTCTGCTTTTTAGGTGTTCATGCCGCCGTACGTACCGGGGATAATGGTCAATGATGATGAGCCGGACGTGTCCATTTTTGATGGTAAGGCCCGTCCAATCGTCGATTGGGTGGCCGAGGAGCCCCTCTCCACGCCGTCTGTCTTTGTTACTGACGCGGATGAAGTATACGCTACCGTGGAGGACAGGGAAGAGGGACAACCTCAGAATTGGCAGGTCTACCGCCCAAAGGAGCGTCAGCGCATTTGCTCGAAGTTCGGGAGAATGCTCTTTTCGATGTACGAGTTTTATTTTAAAGAGGCTAGGTTAAGGCTGTCGTTCTCGGATTTCCACCTGGCCATCTTCGACCATCTACGGCTGGCGCCTTCGCAGTTGCACCCGAACGCCTTGGCCTTTATCCGGGCCTTCGAGATCGTGTGCTACTTTCTCGAGATCGGGTCTACGTTGCCGCTATTCTTTCGCCTCTTCAACCTTCAACGGCAGACCGTTAATGGGAAACACGGCTGGGTGTCGTTCAAGCAACCGGACAAGCTTTTAAGACGTATATGGATTCAGTCCGGGATTTTAAGAGGCGTTACTTCGTCGTTAGCCCGATAACCCATGTCGCGGTCAATTCTTTATACAATGAAGGGGAGCTTGCCGAGGGTGCATTTGGAATGGTCTGCAGAGCATTATCTCTGGGGAACCGACCGGTATATTTTTCGGGCGGGGACGCTAGACGCCGAGGACGCGGCCGTATAAGGTCGTGAGGCCCAACGGCAGATACGTTCTGGACAGCGACGGAAACATCAAGACCAAAAAGAGGCTGATAAATACAAAAGCCCTGCTCGAGTGTGACTCGGAGCTCGACGCGATAGCCCTGCTAGGTGGTGGTCATTTTTTCTTTCTTTGCCTTGTTGATTTTTTTCTGCCTCTAACCTTTGTTTTTCGTGTTGCAGGAAGCATGTCTTCCGTTGAGGAGAGGTTGAAGCAACTGCAATCCAAGGGCGTTCCCCCGAAGACTAGAGTTGCAAAGGTGGCTGGCCAGACTTCCGAAGATCAAGATGACAGGGGTTCTCCCTCAGTTAGCCGGGGTAGCCAATCTTCCCCGTCCTACTCGGGCGTGAAGAGACAAAGAGTTCATCAGTCTGAGCCTGTGGTGGATCTGACGGGCGGCATAGTCGAGGAGGGGTACGT